CATCTGGAATGAAAAAATGGCGTCAAAAAGCGGAAACACGGTTTGCGAAAAGAAGAGCTTTCAAATGTTTCGCCATTCGAATCAGAATGGAAAATATGCTAAACTAAAAACAAACAAGAAAATGGGAGTTAGAATGAGGAAGAAATGCAAAGAAGAGAGAACTTACAGGGTAGAGAGAAAAGGATAATGGGGAGCAGATGGAAGTTGCAGAGGTCATAAAGTTGCAGAGGTGAATTCAAAAGGGCTTTACAAATTCAAAAAATATCCGAAAGGACAACGCGACTTTATATCACATTAAATGAACAACGCATACGAAGAGGCGGGAAATTGTAATGATTTCTAAACCATGGTTGTTCTGACGCTTTGGTATTGGAATGAGTGCAAGCACCGTATTTTTGACTTTCTATATATTAAAACCAAACATGCCGACTAATTGGCTTTAGTCGGATGTTTGGGGGGCAATTGTGGGGGCCGAATAATTATGTGTTAAGGAAGGCCAAGATATTTGAAGACATTTGGCCGAAGTCAATTCGACTATAATCTAAGGGCTCTTGAAGCCGAATGTACAGTCGGCCATATAAGCAACCGAATGGGAACCAGTACGCAATCAGAAGGCCGAGTAAGCCATCAACAAAAGAGAGGTATGTAATAATAGATAAAAATAACTTGAGATTGAAGTAAACGAGAGAGCATACTAACTTGTCCGTTAGAGTGCTAATTCCGACACCCCTGACCGGAGTGTTCATCCATTTTTCAAGTAGCAATCAGTGGATCAAGGACGTCTGACTGGATCCTGGAGTATTTCCAAACCACTTCTGCAAACCAACCAAAGCCAAAGTCTAACATTCCAATCTTTAAAATCCAAATCCCACCTATCATTCTTCTTCAAGTTCCGATCACACTTCTTCAAGAACATTCTCTCTTAACAACATCGACTCATTTTCTCCACCATGTTCTTCTGAACCCAAAAAAAGCCCACCACCACCACCACCATACTTCTGTTCGAAGATGGTCAGTCCATGCTCCAAGATCTTCGGCAGCGTCATCGTCGTCAAATAATCCGACGACCCATGTTTGGATTTCAGGAATTCAATGCTTTAGATTATATCGGAGAGAGAGATTTACTCAAAAGATGATCTCGAGGAGCTTCTCAACTGTTTCTTACAACTAAATTCACTGACCCATCATGAGATCATCGTTCGAGCTTTCACAACGCGGTGTTCTTCGAAGTTGTTCTCTCTTCAGTTCATATACCTCTTTGTCTTTATGGACTTAATAATGTCATTGTAGACTTAAAAGGGTATGTTGTGAAGATGATTAAAGGTTAATTTATATATATATATATATATATATATTTTATGTGAGAGAGAATATAATTCAAAATGGATTAAAAGTTAGCTTTCAAATGGCCCCTTAATAATTTAGGGTATGGGCTTTTAGATCAAGGAAATTCAAAATTGGACCTAAGACCTGAGCAACATTTTATTTATTAGAAATTATCAACCAAACAAAATAATTTTATTAATAGTTTAAACTTAAAAAAAAAAATTCAAAAAACTTGTCAAATTTATTTAATTTTCTCCTTATAAATTACTTTTTTTAAACCAGTAGTAAAAAATTATCTTAGGCTAGCAATGTATTAAGGCTCCATTTGGTTTAGTTTTGAAATTGTGATTTTCTTTTTAGAGATGTGATTTAAGTATGAAATTATGAGTTGAGTTTTTAGTAATTGAAAATTTGATATGAGTTTTGAAAAGAATTTTTGAATTTTAAATTTTGAAAAGAGCAGATTGGATTCACCCAGTCGTTCGCAATTTGATATGAGTTTTGAAAAGAATTTTTGAATTTTAAATTTTGAAAAGAGCAGATTGGATTCACCCAGTCGTTCGCCCAGACATCCTCCCAAACATTTGGCCGGTTGACTGAAACTGTACAAAATTTTTTTTTCTTTGTGCAATTGTAACTTGTTATTTGAAAAAAAAAAAAAAATTTGTTTTAGATATTTTTTAAATATAAAAATTATTATTTTTTAGATTTTTTATAAAAATAATTTAACAATCCCATCACTAACTATCTTCAAACATTATATCATCAAAAGAATTTTGGAAAGATTTTTTAGTTGTATGTTTGATTATGAATTATTTTTTTTTTTAAATTTTAAAAATAATTAAAATACAAAAACAAAAAAGTCAATAAAAAGACTAATCCCAAGCAACCCCTAAGCCTCCGTTTGGGAAGTGAGTTGATTTTTTGACTTTTTTAATCTAGGTTAAAAAGTTTAGTTTGGGAATGACTTTTTGATTTTTTGATTTTTTTGATTTTTTTTGTGAGAGAAGAGTGTAATAATTATGGATTAGATATGATGTTTTGTTTGTTATGATTAAAATAACCTATTTTGTTTTTTGTTGCTATTTTAGCCCCAAAACCACTTGCCAAACACCACTTAAATAAGATTTAAGTAAGTACCACAATATTATTAGGCTTGGTTTGGCATAATAAAAAAAGTCAAAAATTCAAAAAAATCACTATCCTTTTTAAGTCACATCATCTTATTTAAGTCATATCATCTTTCTACCACTGCAAACCCAATTCATACCCAACTCATATTTTATAAAAAGTCAAAAAGTGCACTTATTTAGTTTATCCCAAACAACCTTTTAATACCCATATAATATATCCATTTCTTCATTTTTTTTATTAAATTTAAATTTAATAAAAAATTCAAAAATTACTTATAATCATTTCATCAAATGAAAGTATTTTCATCAAATATGATACAACAAAGATAAGTTATTTTTTTTATCAAATTGAGAACTCATTAAAATTATTCACCAAATTTGAATTCATAAAAATTTTAAAAAATGAAAGTATTTTCATCAAATATGATACAAAGAGAAATTTGAGATAAGAAAAAAAATGATGAAAAAATCATAGTAATTCATATTAAATTAATTTATTTATTCAAATTTAAATTAAATAAAATTAAAAAATTAGTAAAAATTGAAGACGGTGAACAAACCTGGCCTTCATGGACTCAGAATCCTGGCCCGAATACGAGAGACCCGACACAAATTCCCGCGTTTTTAAAACCAGGGACGTAAATTCACAGGTTTTCCAGCAATAAATTACCGAGTACGTGTTTTTCCACTTTCGGGATTGGAATTAGGTAAGAGACGTTGCGTTGATATTTAAGATTTTTATTCAAATAAAATATTTTTTTTATTTATTTCTGAGAGTCAGGTGTGAAAACCGATGTGATTTCTCCAAGGAAGCACCGCCTGTGTGACTCAACTAAAAAAATAAATAAATATTCAAAAAATAATGTGATTTCTCCAAGGAAGCACCGCCTGTGTGACTCAACTAAAAAAATAAATAAATATTCAAAAAATAAATAAATGCTCTTTTTGCTTTGCCGCCTCGGTGCTGGTCTCGCCACCCACACAACTTCCCTTTTTTTTTTTTTTTAAATGTTTCGTATCTTAAATTTTGTGGTTCAAAAGTGACTCAAATGGTCAAAACGACGTCGTTTTGATCATTTTTATGTTGTTCTGTACTCAAAACAACGTCGTTTTGACCATTTGAATCACTTTTAAGCCACAAAATTTAAACTACGTAACATTGTCATTTTTTTCTTTTTTATTTTCTTTTATCGCTCTGTTTATTCGATGCTAAAACACTTTTCTCTTTCGCTCCCTACATTTTTTTTTTCGTGATTCTCGTAGGACATCCGCAACAACTAAGGTAAAACAATAAAAAAATAAAATATAACTAATAAATTATAAAATTTTTCTTTCATCAGTCTTAATCAGCTTGCTTGGTTGGTTTTTTTAAAAACACTTTTTTTAAAATTTTATTTTCTTATTTTTTATATTTTTTTGTTTTTACAATTTTTTTTTAATATTTTAAGTAATTTTTTTTTTACTTTTTAGACATACCTAACATAAATATATCTAAAAAATAAAAAATTTGTGAAAAAAACTTTTTAAAAATTCACTAAATATTAAAAATATAAAAAAATACGAGAATTCAGTATATTTTTTTGTATTTTTATGTATTTATTAAAATTTTAAAATATTGTTTTACAAATTTTTTACTTTTTAGATACATCTAAGTAAGGTACATCTAAAAAAGTAAAAAAAATATTTAAAATTTTAAAAATATTCACTAAAAATAAAAAAATAGGAAAACCAAAAAACTGAGTTTTCAAAAAACTCAAACCAAACACACTAAATAATTTTTTTTAAAATTATCTTTTTATTAAATTTGCTACAGGTACTATTCATTAGTTATTTAATATTTTATTATTTTTTTGAGACAAGTTAATATATTTTTTATTATATTTTCTCACCCACTAAACGTTCTCTTGAACATCCTCTCAGATATTCCGTGAGTGTTTATAACAGAAAAAAAATAAAATAAAATAAAATTAGCCTAACCGGTCAATTGGTCGGTCAACCGGTCAACAATAATTTTTTTCATGGTTGCATTTTTTAAAAATTATTTGGGTGACATCTCATCAATTTAATAAAAAAAAAAGAATAACAAATACAATAAAAAAATAACATTTTAATAAGATTGAGTTACAATAGAAAATTTGATGCAATAAATACTAAAAAATGACTAACTAAAATAGTAAAAGTAAATTTTAGGTTATAGTTTGACTCAAAATTTATTGAGACTATGTGAATACTCTTAATTTGATTAGAAAATTTGAAAAGACTAATAAAAAGAGAAAAGAAAATATAATCTCATTTTTTATTTTGTTATAATAAAAAATATATGAAAAAAGGTGAGAAGGAAATATAATTTTATTTTTTGTTTTTTAATTTGCTTATGCTCTTTTATTTTTCTATTTCCTAATTCGATTGAAAAAAAAAATATATAATCTCATTTTTTGTTTACACTCTTTAATTTTTTTATTTTTCATTTTATCAATTCTTTTTTATTTTTTTAATTTTCCTTTTTCTTTTTATTTCTCACATCAAATCTTCTAATCAAACATTTGTCTTGGACGCTCTATCTATAAAACTCAACGTACGCCTTCTTAATTATCTTCCAACATCTAACCTTTCTCTCTCTATTTTTGTTTGCTGTTACTTATTTGAATCCTCCTTCAGGAGGAGCTTAGCCATACACTTCTCTGCAGCTGCCTGAGGTACCTCTCTCTCTCTCTCTCTCTCATGAAGCCGAACTGTTTTTGGCATTTCATGAAAATTTTGCTGTGAAAAACGTACCAGTACGCTTGTTTCTCGACTTTATTTCCTCCTAATTTATTTTTTTCAAAACAATTCCCCTCAAAATTTCAATACAGATCTGTGAGTAAATCTGTAAAAAAATCAATTTCTTTTTTTCAGCCAAGCTAAGATTATGTATATACTGTGAAAAGTAATCTTTTTATCAGCTGAAATTTGTGGAGGAATCAACTGATTGAGTGCAAAATATTTGATTTTTTGCGACGGAGTTTCTGATCTGTAAACTTCAAGTGTAGAATTGTTTAAATATGTCTAAAAGAAGTGATTTTTTTTTATTGGCTGCAATTTGCGAAGAAAAATATTTGATTTTTTGCTGCCAAGTAGTTGATCTTTTAATTTCGGTTTAAACATATCCAAAAAGAGAAATAATTTTTTTTATTGGCCTGCAATTTGCGGAGAAATCGGCTGATTGATTGCAAAATATTTCATTTTCTCCGACGTAGTTGTTGATCTATTAACTTCAAGAGTAGAATGGTTTAGATATGTCAAAAAAAAAAAAAAGAAGTAAAATTTTTATTGGGTACAATTTGCCAAGAAAAATATTTGATTTTTTGCTACGAGTGGTTGGTCTATTAATTTCGAGAGTATATTAGTTTAAAATGCCCCCAAAAAAGTTTCTTTTTTTTTTTTTAATTGGCCTGCAATTTGCGAAGAAATCAACTAATTGATGGCAAAAAAAATTTATTTTTTTGCAACGTAGTTGTTGATCTGTTGATTCGAAGAGTATATTGCTTTAAATATGATTTTTTATATTTTTTGAACGATAGATCTGAATAGTTTTTGCCTTAATTTTAAAGTTTATTTATGGTTGGTTCGAATTTTGGCTACTTGCCAGGCTGTATTGTTGATCTTCACCGATTATTTTACATTTTTCTAGGGAATAGGTCAGTTTCATCAGCCGGCTAATATTTTAATTAATTAATGGTTTGACCAGATCTCGATCTGCAACTGTTCCAATCTCTCAGATCTGTTCATAAAATCCTTTAATTATTTGATTATTTTTTTGGATCGAGTCCTCTGTTTCTTTTTCCACGGATCTAAGCTTTTGTCTCGAATCTTTGTTTTGTGTGAAATAATCAATAAGTGTTTTTGCGAATTCAGGCGTATTAAGATCTGAAGAAGAAGAAAATGAATCACTGTGCAGTGCAGCAAAAGAACGCCTTCGCAGCCTGTGAAGAGATGAGGAGCTCTGTTTCCGTTTGTCTTTCAACATCTGATCGGAGAGAGACGGTGGTTTGCCCCAAACCTCGCCGTCTCGCCCTCGATCCAATCAGGTCTTTGAGATGGCATGTTAGGTAATTATTATTATTATTTTTAAATTTTTTGATTTTCTTCTGATTATCTGATTTGAATTGAATACCTAGTTTTTTTAACTCTTTTTTATTTTATTTTATTGTGATTAACAGTCATCAACAAGAGCTGTGTGAATCAAAAGCAGGAACAGATCTTCTCGACATCATCCTCCCAAAGGTATGTCTTTTATTCCCTATATTTTTTACTATAAATTTTCTGATTACAAATTAAAACAAGTGTGGAAAAACTAAAATTGGGGTTTTGTTTGGAAAACATGGAAAAGAAAATGGGGTAGAAGAAGAGGTATTTATTTTTAATTTTCTTTGGTAAAGAGATGCGAACTACGTTGCGATCGAGTTATCGGTCGCCCACATTCAACCCGGTGTGGGGAGATCAAGATAGACGTGATTCAGTCTTGACACTAAGGGAACAGCCGCACAGACTTCACTCTTTATTTCCTTAATGAACCCAAGATATCCAAACAGAGTCATAAAAATCTTTGTTGTACACTGCCCTGCTAATATGTGTTTTTGTTTTTTTGAATTTACAGGGTAGTTATGGTGGAGAGCAATCTTATGCACCGGTAGCCTCGTCGCCGCCCCCATTTTTTTGTGGGTCTCCGCCGAGTAGAGTATCTAACCCATTAATTCAAGATGATCGCTTTGGGGATGAGAGGTTCACGCCCGTCTCGCCACGGTCGATTCCTATTCCCTCCGGGTTGTCGTCGTCCCCTGCCTCATCCTCCCGAAAAGGTGCATGTGTTCGGGCAAATTTCGGGAACAACCCGGCAGTGAGAATTGAGGGGTTTGATTGCTTGGATAGGGATAGACGTAACTGCAGTATCCCTGCCCTTGCTTAACAAACCCAAATTGCAACACGAAAAAATAGAGTACATATAGGGAAAAAACCTGATGCTGAAAAGCAAAAATATGAAAGAGAGCAATCTTGATTTAGAAGGAGATGAATTTTGAACATTTTCACTGAGGGGAGAAAGTTGGATCCTTTTGTTGATGTAAATATGTTTAAAGGGTCTTGTAAGTAATGTGTCTGTAAGTAAAGAGTTGTTAACCAAATAATGGAGAGAGAGAGAGAGAGAGAGAGAGAGAGGTTCTTTAGGGTCTATTTATGTTTTTTTTGGGGAAGTTTTCTTGAGAGAGTCCCTCTTGTGGTGTAAGTAGGTGAAGAGAGATGAGGGGAATTTATTGTTTTAGGCTCAATGAAATCTTGCTAAAGATAATTTGTAAAAATGCACAAGTGGGTGAGTTATCAATCTTTAGTGGTCATTTTGGACATTTTACCTTGTAAGTATATGTTCTTTGATGAGCATGCGTTTTTTTTTTATTGATTGGTGGTGTTATTTGCAGTAATTGATATATTAATTAGCATATTAATATTTGTTTTGATATTGTCATTTTAAAATTATAATTTCATCTATTATGTAAAGTATAAATATTTATAATTTTTAAAATTATATTATATTATTAGTTAATACAGTAATTAATATATTAATTGGTATATATGGTGCTTTTTTTTATACCAGATGTGTTATTACATGCATGGAAAAAATTGAATACAAAATGATGGTGTTTGGGAAGTGAGTTTTTATGTAGATTTTAGTAGATGTAGGTTTTTATGAGATAAAAAATTTTTGGTGTTTGGGAAGATAGTTGGTTTTTATGTGGTTGGATGTGATGTTTGTGAGAGAAAAAGTGAAATGATTATGGGGTTGGATGTGATATTTTGTTTGGATGTGTTTTTTTTGGTTTTGCAAAACTTTTGTCTTTTAGTGGAAAAAATGAGAAAAAAATTTGGGAACTTGCTTCCCAAACACCACCAATATATAGCTATAAGATAAAAAAATATTTACGTCTGTAATTTTCTAACAAATTGGCATCTATAGTTTCGAATTTTGCATTCGGAATCTTCTGTGTGCCTAAGACTTTTTGTTTTGATACATGTTTGTGTGTGTGTGGTGGCAAAGTCGTGCTATGATGATGCGATGATTTTTGCTTATTTCTCACGCGATAGCAAATGATTTTGAATGGTTACTATTTCTTTGTTTGGATGTAACTTTTTTGCTTTTTGGTCGTGTGGTCTTTGATAGAAACGTTTGTGAAGTTTGGTGAGAAAAGATGGGCTGGAAAAATTTTGCCATGCCTTTTGTGTTTTGGGTGTTTTTGAAGTTTTGGCTTTGAATCATTTGATGTAATTTTAAAACCTAATCCCCTTTCCCTATACCGATAACAATTACAATTTCAATTTTCAAATTTTGATTCAAGAGGTGGTATAATATAGAGTTTATATTTACGTTGTTATTTATTTATTTATTTAATGGGAATTGAGAGGGTGTTATTTATTTATTTATTTAATGGGAATAGAGAGGGGGATTTACGCTGAGCATTGAGCTAGTTTGGGGTTCAACACGGGAATGGTGTTAGGCTGAGCAAGGGGTCGTGCGGCATATGCTCTTGGTTGTACTGAGCTATCGGTCGCTACATTTGAGATTGATACTTGAAGGGATTGTATTAGCCGAAAGGGCGGACAGAATGCTCTCGATTGGCCGACCTAAAGAGATGCGAACTACGTTGCGATCGAGTTATCGGTCGCCCACATTCAACCCGGTGTGGGGAGATCAAGATAGACGTGATTCAGTCTTGACACTAAGGGAACAGCCACACAGACTTCACCCGATATGTGGGAAGTCGGAGTTGGTGCTGCTGATTGTGAAGTAATGGTTCGGCCAAGTATTCTACGTGGACCAATGATGGGAAGAGAGGAATCCGCTCCTGGCATGCGTCAATAGCGTTTGGCAGTGTGACAAACACTGTTTGGTGGTTTTGGTCTTTATACATGTAGGAAATGTAAAGGGGAGCACAACCGTCTGTCCAGAGAACAACAACAGAGGTAGTGCGCCCACAATCTGTGAGGCTGAATGGCCAGCCTTGAAAGGGAGGAGTATGCAGACGTTAGTGTTAAGCAATTTTGATTACAGACTCTCTCTCTACAGGGCTCTACCTTCTCTCTTCTTCTCTAAGTGTACTAACTTGACCGTCAGAGGGTTTTTCCGGCAACAGACTGCCGGGCAGCTCACTCTCTTTTTGTTCTCAGGTTAAGCGACGTTACTTGAAGCTTGGACACAAGGAGTACGGAGAGCGACAAATATTTCCTCCTCGTACAATTGGCGCCGTCTGTGGAAAGGCTTTGACAGACAAACCTTGCTCACTAAGCTTTTTCAACCATTTTCCATAGCAAAAAATGACAAAACACCGCTGTCCATCGTCGACCGCATCACTCCAGAGTCGATCTGGAGGAGAGATGGCCCTCCCACCATTCTAACCATAGTGGGCCTGGAGACCTCCTCTAGAGGGCTACCTAGAGACGCGTGGGATAAACGCGTGAAGAGCACTGGCCTTTCGAGGAGTCTTGATGGACGATGACGACGAGGAGAGTCACACGCTCAGCGCTTGGAACATAAACTTAGAGACTAGGATGCCCTTATATGAAAGATGGCGGCTGAGATGGAGACGCTAAAACAACAGATCAAATGGAAGGGTGTTACTGGGGTGAAAAACCACAATTAGCACACCCAATCCCGTCGCTTAGGCAACCAGCACCAACAAGACACGCCTTCCCTCTCCATCATCAGGAGTTATGGCATTGGCGATTCTGACCCACTGGCGGAGAGGTCATGCATGCGAGACAACAACAACTGCCCTTCACGTTCGTTGACGACGTCAAGATACTCTCACTCCGCCCGTTCGGGGGACCTGGGGGATGTCTTGGAGGAACAAGCACGCCGCAGAGAGGCCCAAAGAGTGCCATTGTTGCGACAACTGAGTCCCAAGATCTGTTGTAGTGAGGAAGTGGCTATGTCGTCACCTAGAATGATGGTTCCAGTACTGTGGGCAGAGAGTTGGTAAGACTTATCGTTACCCTGCTGTCTCCAGAGATCGAGAGCACACCTCTCCCCGTCGGATTCCATCAACCTAAGTTCACGTTTTACGACGGCAAGACGGATCCATACATGCATGTTAGTAACTATCGGTAAGTAATAGCAGCCCATTAGTGCAACGATGCCTTGATGTGTCTTATATTCCCAACAAGTTTGGGAGAGCTGGCCCTGAAATAAATCGAAAGGCTCTTGGAGGGGAGTATCGAGGGGTAGCAGCAATTAGCGAAAGCCTTTGTCACCAAATTCAAGACCAATACTTGAACACCAAAGAAGGTCGACCACCTCTTGGGTATCAAGATGGAATCAAGTAGTTCTTTGAAGGCATATAATGCCAAATATTGGGAGACCTACAATGAGATCCTCGATTGCCCCACTAATCTGGCAATCGCCCAATACAAGCGAGGCTTACCAGTCGGACATAGACTGTAAGCCTCGCTTAAAATGCACCAGCCCATAACTATGGAATCATTGATGCAGCGGATTGACGAGCACATCCAAGTTGAGGATGATGCCGCTATAGCAACTGAGAGGGCAAATTCGATTGCGGCGGACAGACGCGTCGCGGGAAAGGTTCACTCAGTGGGGTAGGAGGATAACCACCCTAATAACTAAGCTAGAGAGCAACATCATGGTGCTAGCCGCAATGACAGAAACAAAGGTTGTGGGAATGACCGGGCTAATGCTCTTCGCAGCGAAGAGGAAGATGCCAAGAGAAAGTTAAAGGCACGGACCAGCATCACCACAGTTTTTAAGATCCCAATTTATCGCATCCTCAGCGAAATTCGAGGTGAGCCATACGTCTATTGGCCAGCAAAATTGGGAAATGCACAAAGGGGCTTCAACTCAAGGTACCGCTGCACTTTTCATGAAGAAAGGGGGCACCGCACAGAGGATTGCGTGCTATTGAAACAACACTTGGAAGAGTTGCTTGCGGCTAGGCACTTGGACCAGTACATAGACGAAAGTATGAAGGCCGCACCACAAGGACAAGCCGAGCCAAATGGTCTTGCTGTCTTGGATGTAGCACCCCAAGGAGTCATCAATGTTATTTACAGTATCATCGAACCAGCGCAAGTTTATGAGCTCAAGGGGATGATTAAGAAGGCCAAGCACATGAGGGAAGTGCTCTCTGTTCAGCCCGTAGTGAAGAAAGGGAAAATCGAGGTAAAAGACATCATTACCTTTTCGAGCAAGGACTTGGAAAGAATTCAAACCCTATATAACGACGCTTTCGTAGTAACACTTCGTATTAAGGAGTTTGACATCAGGCGAATACTGATCGACTAGGGGAATTCGGTCGAGATCATTTACTATGATGCATTCAAGCAGATGAAGTTGGAGGACAAGGACTTGGCCCCAGTAACATCTTCTTTGGTCGGCTTCAACTTTCAACCGGAATGGCCGATCAAGAAGATCATATTGCCGATCAAGGCTGGGTCGGCCACGAAACAGGTGGAGTTTTGGGTGCTGACGGTCCAGTCGACATACAATCTAATCTTGGGGAGGGGTAGGTTGCATGCCATGCAAGCAGTGGCTTCGACTTATCATCAGGTCATGTGCTTTCCCGCCTCAATTGGACACATTGAAGAAGTTTGGGGGATCGGGTGATGTCCAAACAATGCTTTGTCACGGTAAATGGTAGTCGGGCCGCCAAAGGCTTTGTCTAGATGATAGAGGGACTAGAACGCAAAGAAGTCCTTGAGGATATAGAAAGAAGAGCCGATGAGAAATCAGTGGAAGACTTGGTGGAGGTTCGCATCGATGAGAGTGATTCGAGTAAGTTCTTTCTCTTGGGTTCGTCTCTGACCAGCGCCAAACGGCTAGACTATGTAAACTTTTTGGTTTCCCACGTTGAAGTCTTCGCGTGGATGCCTTACGATATGCCTGGTGTCGACCTTTGCTTCATTTGCCACCAGTTGAATGTCTTTCCCAATGCACGACCGGTCATTCAGAGAACTCGGCGCTCAGCTTTACACCATGTCAATGTAGTAGCCAAAGAGGTCAGAAACTTGCTGGAAGCTGGGGTGATTGAAGAGGTGCACTACTCTAGATGAATCTCAAACACGATTGTGGTACCAAAGAAAAATAGAAAATGGTGAGTATGCGTTGACTACAAGACAGTCAGCTATGTTTGCCCCAAGGATAGTTTTCCACTTCTAAGGATTGACTAACTGGTGGATCTTATCGCTGGTATCAAAGATTCAACTTTCTTGATGTATACCGTGGTTACCATCAGATAGCCATGCATGAACCGGACAGAGAGATAACACCCTTCACCATGCTGAGAAGCTTGTATTGCTACAAGGTCATGCCATTTGGCTTGAAGAACGCCGGGGCAACCTTTCAAAGGATGGTGACCAAAATGTTCGCCCCTTTCCTTGGCCGCATTATGGAGGCCTACATTGACGACATGGTAATAAAGAGTAAAGATCAGTTCTAGTACCTTGCCGACCTAGCCAAGATGTTTTCCATTCTCAAGCTACACAAATTGTGTTTGAATGCATCCAAGTGTGCTTTCGGAGTGAGAATGGGAAAATTTCTGGGTTTTTTGGTCACCAACCGAGGAATTGAAGTGGACCCTTCACAAATCAACGCAATCCAAGAGCTGGAGTGACCAAATTCCTCAAAGGACGTGTAACATCTTACTAGAATGGCAGCCGCGCTGAATAGATTTATCAGCTGGTCATTAGATCGTTGCAGGCCCTTTTCAAGACTTTGAAAGCCAAGTTTTTCTAGGATGCAGAGTGTGACTGTACTTTGACAGACCTAAAGGCATCTCTCTCTTTTGCGCCATTCCCGGTCACTCCACAGTAAGGCGAAGAGCTTTATCTATACTTGGCCATTCTCAACACGCTGTGAGCGCGGTATTCGTTCGAGCTAAGGGGATTCAACACCTTCCTATTTTCTATGTCAGTAAGACGCTGCTCCCAGTTGAATCAAGATATCTGTCGCTTGAAAAATTGGCTTTAACCCTCATGATGGCTTCCAGAAAGTTGGCGCACTATTTCTATGCCTACACCATAGTAGTGCTGACCTAATTTCCACTCAAGGTGATCTTTAAGAAGGTAGATTTTACGGGCAAAATTTTGAAGTGTGTGGTAGAGCTGGGCCAGTACGACATAAAGTTCCAGTTGTAAACAGCCATCCAAGTGCAAGCCTTGGCTGATTTTATCACAAAATTTGCACCAGGCACCCATCCCGTCTGCCTAATAGACTTAGCACACGACACCGAGCAAAAAGGGATAGCTAGTACGGATTTTGCACTGCCTATGGTGCCGGTGCTTCCGTATAGAGATGATGTGTATACAGTAGACGAGGTGGACGATCTTGAGCAAGCCGAGCAAAGGGTAGCCGATTTATCAAGCGATGAGACGAATGCGCAAGTTGGAAAGCTGCGCACGATGCCGCTCAATGCCTTGGATTTGCAAAAATCTCAAAATCCCTCTAATTGCTGGAAGCTGTTCATCGGAGAGACGTGGAAATTTTTTGTTGACGGGGCCTCAAATAGACATGGTGTCGGGCTAGGAGTTATGTTAACCTCGCCAGACGGACTGGCCATTGAACATACCATCACATTGGGATTCCCAACGTCCAATAATTAGGCAGAGTATGAAGCCCTTCTACTTGGCCTGAAAAATGCTCTACGAATAGAGGCCACAAAGCTTATGGTGTTCAGTGACTCCAAATTCGTCGTTAGCCAAGTCTCCGGTGAATATGAGGCTAAGGATGAGAGGATGGCCAAGTATCAAGTGCTAGTACGTGCCAAAATCAAAATGTTTGCCGCAATAAGAATGGAACAAATTGGCTACGAAGAAAATAGTAAAGCAGATGAACTAGCTGGCTTGGCATCCATGCAAAATGCCTTTTCCAACCCTCTAATGATAGAGTTTCTGCCCCAACCTAGCATCGAGGAGCCAGAGGCACCCAAGGTACTCTGCACCGACTTGGGACCATCCTGGATGGATTCAATCATCACCTTTCTCAAAGATTGAATTTAGCCCACCAAGAAGAAGGAAGCCAACAAGATTAGGGCTAAGTCAGAGCAGTTTTGGCTCTCTTTCATCCGGTGCCTTGTATAAAAAGTCTTTTACTGGGCCGTACCTGAAATACATCTATCCTAGCAAGGTTGAAGCTTTTCTTTTTGAGATTCATGAAGACGTGTAGTAGCCACATTGGGGGCAGATCCTTGTATACCGAACAATTTCTCAAGGCTATTGGTGGCCGTGCATGTAGGCTGACGCTCAGAAATATGTCCACAAATGCCAGAAGTGCCAAAAATTTGCTCACCAGATCCACTAGCTGGTCAGGGAGTTGCTCCCCTTGACGAGTCCTTGGCCGTTTGCACTTTGGGGGGCGGACATTGTAAGACCGCGTCCAATTGCTCTAGGCGACCACAAGTTTTTCATTGCTGCTACCGATTATTTCACCAAATGGATGGAAGCCGAGCCGTTGGTTACCATCAAGGAAAAAGAGATAAAGAGGTTCGTCTGGCAGAATGTTATTACTCGATTTGGTGTCCCAAAGGCCCTCATCTTAGATAACGGCACGTAGTTCGACAGGAAACTCGTCAGCAAATTTTGCGAAGAGTTGAAGATTGAGTTTTACAACTCTACACCGGCCTACCCTCAATCAAATGGTCAAGCTGAAACTTCAAATAAGACTATCTTGGATGAGTTAAAGAAACGACTGGAGAAAGCCAAAGGGAGATGGGATAAGGAACTCTCCAACGTGTTTTGGGCATACCGAACTACCCCTATATGTTCGATCGGGGAAACTCCATTCGCCCTGGCTTACGGCATGGAGGTTGTTATATTCCTAGAGATTGGTATACCAACCATCCGATCTGAAAACTTTGAGCCCGACTTGAACAATAAAACTATCGCCCTGGAGTTGGACCTAGCTGAGGAAAAAAGGGAAAGTGCACTAATTCACATTGCGGCCTATCAGCAAGAGCTCTCCAAGAAATAAAATAAAATCGTGCATCCACGTCTGTTCAAAATTGGGGACTAGGTCTTGAGGAAAGTGATGGGCAACACACTAATCCCTGGGGAGGGTAAATTGGGTGCAAATTGGGAAGGGCCATACAAGATAATTGGCCTGGTTGGCAAAGAGGCATACCATCTAGAGGACTTGGACAACAAAGCTATCCCAAGACCCTGGAACGCGACCACCCTCAAGCTATTTTACTTTTGAAATGTAATCCTTTTTCCTTATTTACACTTTGCTTTTTGCTGTTGCATGTAATGTTTAATGAGCAATGAAAAGAAGTGTTTTATTCATCTTTGTATTTTGGCATTTTATGTAACTTTTTCTATTAAAGCCTAGTTTAATGTGTCCTACCGTCCAAAAAGTTGGTGTTATGTCTAGTTTGGGGCATAAGATTGAGTGAATTTTGCTTAACCCCGGACTGATTTTGCCCGCCATGCTGCCAGTTGGTGTCCAGTATGAGGCATAAGACTGAGTATATTTTGCTTAACCTCGGGCTGACTTTGTCCACCGTGCTACCAGTTGGTGTTATGTCCATCTTGGGACATAAGATTGAGCGGCTTTTGCTCAACCCTGGGCTGACCTTTCCTGCCGTACTAACAATTGGTGTTATCCTTAATTTTGACAATGCAAGCCGAGCTGGTTCTGCTCGCCAGGGGAAAGTTTGTTGTTTCGCTCACTTTTTTAAACCGGGCTGACTTTGCTCGCTACCCCGAGCTGATTTTGCTCAAAGTGGCGCAAACTGATGCAATTTAAAAGTTGGCCTTTGGCTTCTTTAACTGAGTTGATTTATGCTTCGGAGACGTAGAGCTACCCACATTTGAAAAAGTATTCTACATTTGTGCTATCTTTTCCAAGCTAAAATTAGCCTAGCGTGATAAAATGTATTCCAAAAAATTTTCTCGGCAAACATGAAAGCTACAGTTACAACCATTCAGACAAAACAGATAAATTGAAGATGCATTGTAGACACTCCATTTTTGACCGCCCTTAAAACTTAGGCGCCTCAGGTTGATCACTCGGTAATGAAAGTTGTGCTATGCCAATGTTCGATTTCTTCAGCAAGGAGAGCTTCTAACTGCCAACCTTACACCCTATTTTGGACCAAAACTATTTTGACCAAAATCATTTTAGACTTTAAAACCCTCTCTTTCAAAATATTTTTGAAAATGTTTCTACGATGTTCCGTAGCTCGCATTTCGTTAAATGTTGCGCTTTTCGGTAAACCAAGCAAGGACAAAGTGGGAATAAATGAAAGAGAGGTGAACTCTTTGAATTTTTTTTCAAAACATCTTATTTTT